CAGTCATTCTGTCTTTCCCCATGGGCCTACTGTTATTTAAAGGTGAGAATAACGTTAATAAGGCAGCTTGACACATAACCTAGCTGCAAATATTCACTGATTGCAAAGGAGATTACTAATATTTCACATGCAGATAAAGTCTTTAAAAGACACAGATGTAAGATTTTTATGGAGCACTTTTAACTACGTAGTTCTTCATAAAAATGTAAGGATTAATGTCCTCCAATTGTGATTTTAAATCTCAAAATGTGACTTTACATCTCTTAATCAATAATACTTCATTTCAACAACAACAACAAAATTATATCTCATTACTGTGAAATTATTAGTATGAAACCCTGCTTCCTCTTCAGAATAAAAAACAACAACAAGGTAATTGTGGATTTTTATCTTTCAGTTATGACTAACACAGTGACTTTATATCTCATAATCACAACTTTATTAGACTTTATATCCCGCAGATATGACTTTAAAGCTCACAATGTGCCTTTATATCTTCCACCTGTGACTTTTTATATCTCGTAATCACAACTTTATTTCACATAACTGTTGCTTTATACCTCACAATGTGACATTGTCTTGTAATCACGACTTTATTTTGCATAATTGGGACTTTATATCTCACAATGTGCCTTTATATTTTCCAACTGGCTTTATATCCCAGAATTGAGACTTTGTCATAATAACGACTTTATTTCACATAATTGTGACTCTGTCTCAAAATTTTCAAGAAATAAATAATTAAATAAGTAAATCTTTATTTTTCTATCACAGATGGATAGAAAAATGTCTCTGCTAAAAAATGGTGGAAGCCACTGAAAAGCATCATGGAGAGGATGTAATGGATCCATAAAAGGCTGCCCTTGCAAAGAGTTTTGAAAGAGGAACCTGTTGCTTGCCTATTATAGTATCTTGCTTGCCTGGTCTACAATGCTTGAAAGCTTGCTTGTAATTTTGGCAAGAGAAATAAAGCCACAATATGACTTTGTGATCACAAATATATTTCACATTTTGACTTTATATCTCACTTATATCTCATTTTTTTTAATCATGACTATTAATTATTTCTCACAGTTGCTTTACAGTATATCATATAATGTGACTATTCAATTTCATTTTCTACTCTAAGGTGGAAAAAGCTTTCATATATATTTTCACAACATTTTGTCAAATGTTATAGATTGATTGATTTTGTTCTACATAAAATAGTCATATGAGTCTGGCGTGACATAAATTTTCAGCATATGACCTGTGAAAAGAACGTATTCATTAGACTGTCCACATTTCGACATGCACATCCTTTGTGCCACAGCGTTTTACTTTCACTGTAAAATCACTGCAAAAAAGTACATTTTAAAGATGCATATAATCTTTTCAGAAGTTGTGTTTAAAATCCATCTGCTTTAAAATTGTAAAGAGTCAAAAGCTCAGTTTGAAAGTGCATTACACTTCTGAAGATTCCACAGATGGCCTTGATCTATAGCAAATTCCTGCTCAAACTGCAGACATTGACAGACACCAGATCTGAACACTGGACACGTGTTACAGCATACTCACTCCATACACTGTGATAGGAGCCATGTTTTCATTGAGAGCTTTATGCTCCTTTGTCAAGCTCAGTCAATAGTCATCTCAACAGCTGAGTCATCTCAGAAAACGTCCTTCACCATTACTAGCAGTCAGACGATTATTGCCACAACCCTGCTAAATACTGTGAAACTGATTTCTCTTATTTTAATAGAATACTAAACAGCTAAAACCAGCATGAATTGGTCCAGGTCTAGATGGAAAATAGTTTTACTAGTTTTGCTGGTTTACTTGCATGGTCTAATTTTTATTTTGTCGCTGTCACTCTTTTACCTGTTTTTTGCTAGTTTTACTAGCTTGGACGTTTTACATGTATGGTCTAACTTTAATTTTTCCTCTGTCTTTCTTTTACTTGTGTTTTACTAGTGTTGAGATTTTACTTGCACGGTCTAATTGTAATTTTATCACTGTTATTCTTTTACCTGCTTTTTACTAGTTTGGATGATGGATGTTCAACTTGCATGGTCTAATTTTAATTTTGTCACTTTCACTCTTTTGCCTGTGTTTTACTAGTCTTACTGGTTTTGCTGGTCTACTTGCATGGTCTAAATTTTATTTCGTTGCTGTCACTCTTTTACCTGCTTTTTACTACTTTTACTAGTTTGGATGTTTTGGATGGTCTAAGTTTAATTTTACCACTGTCTTTCTTTTACGTGTGATTTACTAGTTTTACTAGTTTGGATGTTCCACTAGCATGATCTAATTTTAATGTTGTAATTTTCACTCTTTTGCCTGTGTTTTACTAGTCTTACTATAGTTTCGCTGGTTTACTTGCATGGTCTAATTTTTACTTTGTCACTGTCACTCTTTTACCTGCTTTTTACTACTTTTACTAGTTTGGATGTAGGCATGGGCCGATTACAGGTTTCAAGGCATACCGCGATTAGAAAATTTCACGGTTTCAAAACCACTAATATTTTCCGTTATACCGTTCCTGCGGTATGTGCTGTTTTTCATGTCTCCTCAAAGACTGAAAGTGTAGGAATCCCTCAGGTTGAGTGCAGTGTAGAGAGTAACACAACCCTCCTCCTCCTGTTGGTGCGAGCGAGCAGTCAGTCACGTGTGTGTATGACGGCCGAAGGAGCTTCCCCTGGAATTTATGCGATCGGCAACCAGCCGTTTTTTTGTCTTATTGCAGCTTGTCTCTGTTCTGGACTTGCACAAAATGCGTTGCAATGCAATAATTTTCCAAAATGTAATTTATGTAAAAATATGAAGACTGTAAACACCTGTTAACATAGGCCAGAGACGCTGAAGACTGTTGTCACTGTCACTCTTTTACCTCCTTTCACACCTGAATTTCTGATGGTTGGCTGGTGCTTGTATGGTGCTGGTTTAAGCAAAACCTAGCTGATGAGACTAGTCGGCTTTGGTCCTTGTGGACTTTCAGCAAGTGTTATTAGTTAAACTCCTAAACAACATTGGTGGGACACTAGTAAACCAGCATACATAAGCTTGTCAGTACAGTAGTGTAAAACTAGCACAAACCAAATACCCTGAGGCACCAGTGTCAAAAAATGACCCAAAATTCACATAGCATCTTGTGCTTTTGCAGTGTTGTGAAAGAAAAATCTGTGAAATTGAGATAGCTTGAGGGCCTACAGCAATAACAGTGGGAGTACATGCCATCCAGAATGACTGGAACAAGCATTTTGGCAAGCTGGTTCAAACAAAGGTCACCCACAGCAGTCAATTCAGCAAGCATGTGTGAAGTTATGCTCATGGATGTTTAGCAGCAGACATAACAGTCGAGAGGCCCAAGACCAGTGAGTAAGAAAAAATGTAAACGTGATCAGCTGGGATAGACTATATTTACGCTGATTACTAACACTGCTAGATAAATACTTGGTTTGGTGCGTGTGGATGTCACATGGTTTGCTAATTGAAACTATTACAGACTCCTGAGGGATTTATTCAATTTATTCAAAATAGACTGTGCAATAATAAACTTACAGAACCAGTGGAGCAGTTGTCAGACTCTTGAATATCTTGAATAAGCACCGCATCTTTGACAAAGACGGCGATGGCTTTCAGAATGAAGGACACAAACAGGTGCATGTGGATGTAGTTCCGCGTGCAGTGGAGTTTCCTGAGGGAATACAAGGAATACAATCAGCCACGCTCACGGACTGAATCTAAAATATGTTAAGCCTGATTGAGAAGTCCCCTGCCCCCTAATTACACCCTGTCCTTGGAACTAATAACGGAAAAAATGACAGCTAATTACACTACAAATTAAATCCTAATTGAGCTTTCTGGTCTGTGTAAGGGGTTTGTTAAATAGATAATTTGCTCCATTGTGTTGTTGTCCATTTCACACGCATTTGGTAAACATGGGAATTCACAAAATCTGATTCATTTTATGTCCAACATGCTTATTTAATATTATCAAGCTATGGCAGGCAGTCAAAATACTGACTGTATTGAATCTACTCTGTAAGTCATACGGGTTTGTAGCAACATGAGAGTGAGTAAATAATGGCATAATTTTCATTTTATAGATAAACTATACTTTTAAGAAGACATTCACAGCTGCTTTATGCAAAATGCAAGTGTTTTAAAACAGAGAGAGACTATGATATCCCAGAACACCCTGAACATGATGTCTTTTGTTTATAATGTCCATACCTCACACTAGTAAATGAACTGACACTTTGTTTAAACACTGGGTTTTCTCTGCGCTCTGGTGCAAAGAAAAGATTAATATTCTACAGTATGTTTTACAGTAATACTCTCAAATACTGACACATCTACAAAGCTGTCATGCTTTAAGGATTGTTAGTTTAGAACAATGCAAAATAATCACAAAAATGTGTTAGGACTACATTTTTGCACATAGATTGCTTGTTGCCCTATCAGAATAATCTAAATATATCTCATTCAGTCAAAAATGAGTCTGAAAGAAATAATGACTAAAACATATAGCGTGATGTGATGTGAAGCGTCAAATGTTTTGGGTCTTTAAGAACTTTTAATGTTTTGAAAAAAGTCTCTTTCAAATGCAGAAGGCCACATTTATTTGATTTAAAAAAATACAGTAATACAGTGAATTATCATTACAATTTAGAAGAACTGTTTTCTATTTTAATATATTTTATGTTATTTATTAATATAATTTATTCCTGTGATGGCAAAGCTGAATTTTCAGCATCATTATTCCAGTCTGCAGTGTCACATGATCCTTCAGATATCAATCTAATGTGCTGATTTGCGGCTCAATAAACATTTCTTATCAATGTTGAAAACAGATTTTTTTCTTTGATAAATAGAAAGTTCAAAAGAACAGATTTTATTTGAAGTATCATCTTTTTTTGTAACAACATAAAAATTTGATCAATTTAAAGCATCTTTGCTAAATACAGATATTAATTTATTTAAAAAATCTTACTGACCCCAGTATTTGAATGGAAGTGTAGGTCTCACAAAGTTAAATACATGATGGTTTTGCATTTTGTTTCTACATGCTAGATTATATTACCCCAGCAGCCAGTTCCTTTTTATGAAAATCATGTTAAAATAATTTACATAAGCTTTTGTCACACATATCTCACCACATGAGGTTTTACCACAGGTTTACATATACTGGCACAATGAATGCATGTAATGAATATCTGTTATCAATTAGAGTAAACATGTTTTTCAATAGCTTATTATGAAGTCTTTCTTTTGTCTACCAGTTGCATTACTAAAGAGTCTGTTCATATTGAGTTTCTTAGAATTAGTTTTTGATTTACGGTATTAGATGTTCATTCATCTACCTTCATTAATGAAGTCTTGCTTATGGATTGTAAACTATAATTTATATCAGCTTTGTTATAGTTATGTGGCCAGTAAGATGAATTCTAAACAATGTGTGGAAAAGTTACTTCATTGTTTACTTAAAAAATGTAATTGTTTTGATCCTGTGGCAAAAGTCTGATGAAATGGGCCAAACATATTATACATTACAGCAGGTAAAATCTTTCTTATCCAGCTCCTAGCTTGGATATTTGAAGAGGTTCACTGAATATGGATAATAGCATGCCAGTATGAAACAGTAATGAGGCAGTGTTGTTATCTTTAACAAAAAAAAAACTAATACAAATAAATAAATAGTTACTTGAAATAAAGCTGAAATAGAATAAAATATAAAAATTTGATGTAAAATGTTTCCTTGGCAACACATTTAAATTATTCATACAAATTATAGTAGTATATAAATAATACTAAAATGACATTGGATTGACAGCATGTTATATTTCCAGTATTGTTTGAATGTTTATTCCATTCTCAAAACGCAACCCAAGGAAAATAATTTCTGTCATTGTTTCTTTAAACGAATCTTCTAGATTCAAAACAAAATAGATTTTGTTTGCAAGTGCATAACTGTACATTTTTGCTTGTAGATTTTTGCTTGTAGAGATTTGTCACAGATGCTTTTAACATTGACATAGTTTAACATTGATTGAACCCAGTTAAAAATAGGATTTATTAAAATACAGCTATTGAAGTTTTATATAAGTTGCAATTCTCATTGCATAACATCGCAATTCTCCAGAACTGACTATAACTTCACATTTTTTGAGTTAAAGGTCAAATCCCTGTGTTTCCTTTAACCTAGCACTCATGCACTATGTCGTCTCCAGTTTGCTCATTTCACATGCTGTGATTTGACACTATCAGCATGATCTTACAGGCCTACAGTATGTTGCGTCTCTGGTGTGTGGCCATCTGCAAGATCACCTTGACATACCGCTGACAGATTTGTACACTATAAACTTTTACCAAGTGTTTCTTGGTAAAGGCACAATTTAATTAGACCACAGACTGTTTCCACCAAGCAAAGACAAATTGTGACCTGAGTCATTCAGTGGAGTGGGAGCAAGTGTTCAAACTGGCAATAATAACCTGAGGTGTGATCAGGTCTTCAGCCCGTCAGGCTGAAATCCCACATCAGACTGATATCCTCTCAGTTAAGACTGCTTAAGCCTGCAGCTCGAATGCAGATAGTGTTAATAGACAGGATTAGGACTGATTACATTGCTGAAGA